TTTTTTTTTCTAACAACAGATTTCACGTCAACAAAGGTAATATGTGCTGAAAATGAAGAGTACGTGAATTGTTTGGATGCATGTCAACCAACGTGCACGTTTAGATCACCAACTCCATGCCCTCTTGAAGAATGTAACGGTGGATGTCACTGTAAACCAGGTATTAATACTAATATTTCTGCTACTACTACTGCTTTTTCTCTGCTAGATAGATTCTACAGCTATATTTTTTTGATTGAATTTTGTAATTACATTTTTCTGGTTAGAATCTGTAACTACACTTGTTCATACTTTATAATTATATTCCCTCGACCAGATTCTATAATTCTATTTTTGCGTGACCTGAGTTTGTATTTGCAATAAATCCTGACTAGAACTGATTTTTTCTGTTAATCACTGAATTTACTGAAACATTTTACTAAAAATAATAAATGACAATCTTTCTAAGAGTAGTCTAAAAAGAAAGAATTCAGTCTTAGTGCAAATATTTCAAGCAATTTTGTATTTGTTAACAAGGATCAAAGTAAGAGAAGCATTTCTGAGACAATTCTAAATCAATTTCTATCAGGTTTCATCCGTGAAGGAAATGAATTGCATACGCCATGTATTCCACGCACTCATTGTCCACAGCAAGTAATACAATCAGAATTAAAGAACTGTACTGATCCTTTACGTGAATATACACGTTGCGGTCCTGCTTGTCCTATTTCTTGCTCATCGCTTACTGAAAAGTGTGTCGCAGAAGGCTGTGTGCAAGGATGCTTCTGCAAAATCCCATACATATTAGAAAATGGCGCTGATCCAATCCACTCAAGGTGAATCAAACAAACACGTGAAAATTTTGATTATAATTCTGTCAGTACCTTTTTTTAACACTTTTTATTTAGCTATCACTAAAATTTTGCATAAATTTCTTTACTAAAACTTATTTTGCATAATTTAAAATTGAAAAAATTAAAATTTATTAAAAAAATAAGTTGGTAGAATATTCAGATGCATTCTACCTGCATACTGTCCTTTGACATTAAAAGCTTATGCTTCTAAAATCAACGATACGCAACAATTTACAACAATAAGTCCTTCCCCAAAATCACGTAAAATTCAATTTCACATATTTCCAACAAATGAAACAATCACGATGCAGTGCACTGATCCACTCAAAAATTTTCAAAGCTGTGGTTCAGGTTGTCCAGGTAATCTGTTCCATAACTTTAATTTCAGCGTTTTTTCACGTTATAACAAAATATTTGACTTGCAAGCAAGTTTAAATGAAAAAATTGTTGTTAAATAAAGAAGAAGTTGAGTAAATAAGGCAAGTAATTTCTTGTCTCACACTAATTTAGATAATTTTAGTTGGTTGTAATAATCGTATTGCCGGTTTTTGTGGTACTCAATGTGTGGCAGGTTGTTTTTGTCGAAAACCGTATATTTTGCAAGATGCTTACAATATGAATTCACGCTGTATACTACCACATCAATGTCAATCGTTTATATTTCAACAACAAGTCTGTTCTGACCCTCGAAAGCAATGGACTCACTGTTTTTCTAATAAGTAATTCTATTTTTTGGAACATTTTGTGTGCTCTCAAATTTTTATTAGTTATTTCTTTTTTAAATATTTTTTACTATGAAATTTAAAATTATTGTATTGCGTAAGTTTTTTGCGTGTTATCAACCACGCAAGAAGTTAGCCTTGTTTTTTATACGTACGTGTGTTATCATTAGCGTTAACTAAATTTAGAATTATTTTTGCAAAGTATTGTTTTTTTCCAAGGTTTTCACCGTGTGTTTCTGGATGTTTTTGTAAACCTGGCAAGTTACTTTTATTGTTTTAAATATTTTCATTAATTTTAGATGTGTGCGTAGCTGCTCAAATCTAGAAACAATTTGTACACCACATAATGATTGTTCACCTGGCTGTTTGTGTCGTGAACCGTATGTGTTATCAGACGCAAGTGATCTTAATTCGCGTTGTGTATTACCAAGTGAATGTGGATCGCAATGTAATGATTCTCTAAAGGAGTATCATGCTTGTGCATCATCCTGTCCAATGGGTTGCAATAATCGAATACCACAAACGTGTTCACCGTGTGTTTCTGGATGTTTTTGTAAACCTGGCAAGTTATTTTTATTGTTTTCACTACTGTCTTTTAAGTAATAATTATTATTATTGTTTATATAAGTTCATAGAAGTTATTTAGTGATACTACTGATGTATGACTTAATTATGACTCTTTTCAGGACTTGTATTTGAAGATGCCGTGAACTGGCGCACGTCTAAGTGTATAACGTTGAATCAGTGTCCAGTAGTCAATTCTTCTGTTACGGCTGTTGCATTTACTCAAAAAACAATCATTACAAGTATATTTTGATCTTTTTAATTTAACTGCTGATGAATTCGACTTACTTTTATATTAAAAGCTCAAACAGTAAATTATAATATCAACTTGTTTCCAGCTGACACGGTGGAATGCCCTACCACTACAATTGACTTAAGTGGGAAAGTATGCAGTGTTGATTCTGATTGTCCCATCCAGCAAGTGAGTCATCTATTTGAATCTGAAGTAATCGTTGTAGCTTCTAAAGTGTAATTGAAGGCGTAAAAGAGAAGTTGAATTTGAAAAAGTGATACAAAAGCGTATAGCAATGCAAATAAAATTAACTTAAATTCAAATTAATGGGTATTCCTGAACGAAAAAAAGGTTGATTTTCGTGAAAGGTCAATTTTTAAAAGACACAATAAATATTTTGCGAAAATTACTTTATCTTATCATAATTATAGAATAGAATAAAGTATATAATTTAATCTACTAGACTTTACTGATAAGTTCCATCGATAAATGTAATATGCATTATTTGATAATTTTATTGGTGCCATCAAACTTTCATTATTTTCATCTAAATAATTATTATTATTTCACTGAAAAAATTTTAAATTAAGCGTTGCTGTCACTCAACTTTATTTGCTTTTGTGAGTTCCAAACAATCACGTTGCACATGCACTGATCCACACGCATATTGGGATCCATGTGGAAGTTTATGTCCTGAATACTGTGGACAACCTGCTGTTCCTGTGTGTTCAACAACGTGTAATCCTAGTTGTCGATGTGCTCCAGGTTACGTGAAAGTGCGCAATCATGTCTGGGCTCCTTGTATTTTACGGACGCAGTGTTTAGAATCAGGCAAATATTTCTGAAATTACATCAGCAAACTTTTTTGATTCATTCAGGCTAGGCAATAATAATACTATTTTTAACGGATTATTGACTCATGTATTAATGATTGCATCACTGGTTTAATTACTAATGATTAAAAAAATTTACATTAAAATATCTACGTAATTAAGCAATTATTACATTAATGCGTAATATACCATGCAATCGAAAGATTAGATTTGATAATATTTTGTCAAAGTAATTATATGCAAATTTAACTTTGACCTTTTGAGGAAATTTCAGAGAAATATCGTGATGACGTAAGCAAGTATAGACGTACAACCAAAGCGTACAATCAGTATAATAACTTGAAGGATATCGCAACAGTAAAAATGCTTCTAAGTGGTGAGGGTGAAATTGCTGGTGATATTAAAATCAAGGAAATTAACAGTGATATGATCAAATTAGAAGGAATGATTGGAGGTATGAACTGTATTGCATACTAAGTCGTTCGTCATTGCTTGCAGTTTTTTAACTTTTGAAAGTATTGATAAAAGATATTTTAAAAAATTGAGAGCAAAGGTCAAGTTCTGAAAATCTGCTTATTTTTTCTTAAAAATTTATTCATTTTTTCATTTGTTTTTGAGCAAAATACAAAATTTTTTCATACTTTTGAGGCTAATTTTTTGAAAAATATATTCAAGTTATTAAATACTACGAATTTTGCATTATACTTCTTATTCTTTTGAGCTTAAATCACAAAAATTTAATTGTTTGACTGCAAAATAATAAATTCATTTTTAGACTTAAAATCTTATCTTACAAAGTGTAATTATTAGAAACTAAAACGTTTAGTGCATTTAGTGGCATGCAATTATGTTGTCTAAATTAAAAGTATAAATCGCGTAATGCTTTGAATTTCAATTTGATTTTAAATATTATAAAAACTTTAATTAAAAAAATAAGATAAAATTTTAAATAAAAGTTGGGTAAATAATTTTTTGAGTTTATTTTACATTCTTTTTTCAGTAAATAAGTCAAATTGCAGAGTAAAACAATTGCAGTTCTGAATTGTAACTATGATAAATAATTTGCATTTTAATAGCCGGTGAAATAGATTAGTTTGCCATGAACTAAAATGGTATTATTATGCTAAAATTAAACTTTATTTGTTTGAATTTAGGTCATTTTAAAATTCATTGAACAAAACAAGACAAAAGGTAACATTTACTACAAACTAAAATAAATGAATCACAAGTAGAATTAAAAATTAGCTTCATTTTATGATAAAAATATCGTTGAATTTTCTAGAACAATTATCAATTTAAGATCCAAAAAATGATTAGCTCAAAAATCTCATAGCTTATACTTAGCTCAAAAATCTA